AAGTTTTGAGATTTTTCCTAAAGGCCATGAGGGAGGGCGCCTGCCTGATCTCCACAGGGAGAGTGTTCCACAGCCGGGGGGCCACCACTGAGAAGGCCCTCTCTCTCGTCCCCGCCAGGCGAGCCTGTGAGGCCGGCGGGATCGAGAGAAGGGCCTCCCCAGACGATCTCAAGGACCTCGTGGGCTCATAGGCCGAGATGCGGTCTGAAAGGTATTTTGGGCCGGAGCCGTTTAGGGCTTTGTAGGCCAACACCAGCACCTTAAATTGGGCCCGGTAGCAAATCGGCAGCCAGTGGAGCTGGGACAACAAGGGCGTTGTGTGCTCCCTGTATCCCGCTCCAGTTAGTAACATGGCTGCCGCACGCTGAACCAGCTGAAGCTTCCGGGCCGTCTTCAAGGGCAGCCCCACGTAGAGAGCGTTGCAGTAGTCAAGCCGGGATGTGACCAGAGCGTGTACCACCGTGGCCAAGTCAGACTTCCCGAGATACGGGCGCAGCTGGCGCACGAGCCGAAGCTGTGCAAATGCTCCCCTGGTCACCGCTGAAACCTGGGGATCCAGGCTCAACGATGAATCCAGGGTCACACCCAAGCTGCGAACCTGCGCCTTCAAGGGGAGTGCGACCCCATCCAGCACAGGCTGTAACCCTATATCCCGTTCGGCCTTGCGACTGACCAGGAGTACCTCTGTCTTGTCTGGATTTAGTTTCAGTTTGTTCGCCCTCATCCAGACCGTCACAGCGGCCAGGCACCGGTTCAGGACCTCGACAGCCTCCTTAGTAGCAGGTGGAAAGGAGTGACAGAGTTGGACATCATCTGCGTACAGATGACACCGCACCCCGAAACTCCGGATGATCTTACCCAGCGGCTTCATGTAGATATTAAACAACATGGGGGACAGTATGGAACCCTGTGGAACCCCACAAGTCAAAGGTTGTGGCGTAGAACAGGAGTCCCCCAATAACACCTTCTGGGTGCGACCCTCCAGAAATGAGTGGAGCCACTGCAGAGCAGTGCCCCCAAGACCCATCTCCGCAAGGCGCCCCAGAAGGATACTGTGGTCGACAGTATCGAAGGCCGCTGAGAGGTCCAGGAGCACCAACAGGGACACACTCCCCCTGTCTAGCTCCCGGCGCAGATCATCCACTAAGGCGACCAAGACCGTCTCAGTACCATGTCCCGGTCTGAAACCAGACTGTGCCGGATCCAGATAATCCGTGTCTCTCAAGAATACCTGGAGTTGTGAGGCCACCACGCTTTCCATGACTTTGCCCAAAAAGGGGAGATTGGAAACAGGCCGAAAGTTGTCAAATTTAGTGGGGTCCAGTGATGGTTTCTTCAACAGTGGTTTTATAATTGCTTGTTTTAAGCACGCTGGAATCTTGCCTTCCCGAAGGGAGGCATTAACCACCACCGTTACCCACTCAGCCAATCCCCCTCTGGCCTCCCTCAGAAGCCAGGATGGGCAGGGGTCTAGGATGGACGTGGTGGGCCTCATTCCTCCAAGTATCTTGTCCACATCCTCGGGTTTCACAAACTGAAAAGAATCCATCAAAATAGGACAAGCAGGTGCTCTTGTTACATCCACTGAGACTGCATCCAACGCGGTGTCCAGCCCAGAACGGATCGAAGCGACTTTGTCTGCGAAGAACCGAGCAAATGCTTCACAGCGCGTGACCGAATTGTCAGGGCTCCCGCCAGAACTGGCGGGAGTCAAAAGACCTCTAACAATCCGGAACAACTCCGCCGGACGGTTCTTTGCAGACGCAATAGTGGCCGCAAAGAAAGCTTTCTTTGCGGCCTTTATTGCCGCGGCATATGCCCTAAGAAAGGACACAAACCGTGCTCGGTTTGACTCGCTTGGGTCCGAACGCCACACGCTCTCTAGTTCCCTCTTCCTTCGCTTCATCACTGCCAGCTCCTCGGTGAACCAAGGAGCTGGTTTAGCCTTTGTAAGCCGCATCGGGTCCTTCAGGAGATGTTAACAGGTTACAAATAAAGTTAATAATAAATAATAATGATAGTTACTTATTCTTATTCTTCTTCTTATTATTATTATTATTATTACTGCTTACCATATTTTTACAACTATTATTGTTACTTATGATGACGATGATTATTACTTATAATAATTATTACTATTATTGTAACTTATTATTATTCCTACTATGATTCTTACTTACTGATTATTATTGCTATGCGTGCTACTTACCATTATTCTAATTCTTACTATTTGTTGTTTATTATTACTACTACTGGTTGCTGCTTACTATTATTGTTACTTGTTGATTATTATTGTTGTTTGTTACCTATATTTGTTGTGTGTTTTTATTACTTGGATGGTAACTTCCCGTTATTCTTCTTACTAGGAGTGTTACTTCCCATTATTATTGTTGTTATTATTATTATTAGTTTATTATTCTTACTAGGATAGTCATTTCCCATTATTCTTTTTACTATGATTGTTACTTCCTATTATTCTTCTTACTATGATTGTTACTTATTGTTATTATTAAGTTTATTAGTCTTGCTATGATTATTACTTCCCATTATTATTATTAGTATTACAAGTACTTATTGATTATTCTTACTACTATGATTGTTACTTTTTATTTGTTATTGTTTATTCTTCTTAATAGGATGGTGACTTCCCGTTATTATTATTGTTATGATTGTATTTTGACTAGGCTGGTACCTCCCCCTTCTCCTTAATATATTATTATATTCTCCTTAATGTATTAATATAGTAATAGTATTAATATATTCTTGTTAGGATGGTGATTTCCCATTATTATTATTATTATTATTTCCCATTATTATTATTACTTCCCATTAGTATTAGTATTATTATTAGTAGAAGAAGTAGCAATAGTAGAATTAATATATTTTTGCTATGACCGTGATTTCCCATTATTCTTCTTACTGTGACAATGACTTCCCATTATTATTATGACTTATTATTATTTGTTATTGCTTAATATTCTTGCTAGCATGGTGACTTCCCATTATAATTATTGTTATGATTGTATTCTGACTAGGCTGGTGTCTCCCCCTTTTCCTTAATATATCATTATATTCTCCTTAATATATTAATATAATATTGTATATTCTCCTTGACATATTAATATAGTAATAGTATTAATATATTTTTGTTAGGGTGGTGACTTCCCATTATTCTTCTTACTAGAATTGTTACTTTCCATTATTATTACTTCCCATTATTATTATTATTGCTTCCCATTAGTATTATTAGAATTATTGTTATTACCAGCAGTAGTAGAATTAATATATTCTTGCTAGGATGGTGACTTCCCATTATTCTTCTTACTAGGATTGTTACATCCCATTATTATTACTATTACTTGTTATTGCTTATTATTCTTGCGAGCTGGTGACTTCCCATTATTATTATTATTTTCCATTATTATTATTATTAATATACACTTGCTAGGATTGTTACATCCCATTATTATTATTATTATTATTATTATTATTATTTCCTATTATTACTTCCCATTATTATTATTATTATTACTTCCCATTAGTATTATTATTATTAGTAGCAGTAGTAGAATTAATATATTCTTGCTAGGATGGTGACTTCCCATTATTCTTCTTACTAGGACTGTTACATCCCATTATTATTATTATTATTATTACTTCCCATTACTATTACTTCCCATTATTATTATTATTATTATTATTATTAGCAGTAATATATTTTTGCTAGAATTCTGACTTCCCATTATTCTTCTTACTAGGATTGTTACTTGCCATTATTATTATGACTTATTATTATGTGTTATTGCTTATTCTTCTTGCTAGTGTGGTGACTTCCCATTATTATTATGACTTATTATTATTATGTGTTATTGCTTATTCTTCTTGCTAGTGTGGTGACTTCCCATTATTATTATTACTTATTATTATTATTATGTGTTATTGCTTATTATTCTTGCTAGTGTGGTGACTTCCCATTATTATTATTACTTATTATTATTTATTATTGCTTATTCCTCTTACTAGTGTGGTGACTTCCCATTATTGTTGTTGTTGTTGTTGTTATGATAAACGGTTCTGGCCCAAGTTACCTATCAGAATGTATCTCTGCCTATCAGCCCGCCAGGACCCTAAGATCTTCTGGGGAGGCCCTGCTCTCTATCCCGCCTGCTTCACAGGTGCGGCTGGTGGGGACGAGAGACAGGGCCTTTTCTGTGATGGCCCCCCGGCTGTGGAACGCCCTTCCTATGGAGGTAAGATCAGCCCCCTCGCTAATGGTGTTCCGAAGAAGATTAAAAACTTGGATGTTTGAACGGGCATTCGGTTAATCAGTGCAATGAATGTGATGATCACAGGAATGGAAATTTGGGCGACGGATTGGATCACGACTCTAGTTATGAGATGCATTGTGTTGTCTATTGTTGTGTCAATATTGTATATTATGCTTTTATGGTTTTAAATTGTATATCGTTGATTGATTCTTATCCTTGTTGTAAACCGCGTTGAGTCGCCTGTTGGGCTGAGAAACTGCGGTATACAAGTAAAGCAAATAAATAAATAAATAAATAAATAATAAATGATTGTATTGTGACTAGGCTGCTGGCTCCCCCTTCTCCTCCTCCTCCTCCTAATTATTACTTCCCATTAGTATTAGTATGATCAGAATTATTATTATGACATTATTATGTGTTATTGCTTTTTCTTCTTGCTAGCGTAGTGACTTCCCATTATTATTATTATTGTATTGATTGTATTGTGACTAGGCTGCTGGCTCCCCCTCCTCCTCCTCCTAATTATTACTTCCCATTAGTATTAGTATGATCAGAATTATTATTATGACTTATTATTATTATGTGTTATTGCTTATTCTTCTTGCTAGCATGGTGACCTCCCATTATTATTGTTGTTGTTATGATTATATTGTGTCTAGGCTGCTGGCTCCCCCTTCTCCTCCTCCTCCTCCTTCTGCCTCTTCCTATATCCTCCTCCCCCTGGTGCCCTACCTTCTTGACGGTGCGTGGGGCCTCGGTGACGGTGCCTCCGGGGCTGGGCAGGGCCTCTCCGAGCAGCCTCCCCCCGGGGTCTCCTCCGTCGGCGGCGCCCAGGCGCGACGAGGCCTGCGAGGAGGAGGCAGAGGGCAGGGCGGCGGCGGGCGCCTCGGTGGGGCTGCGCTGCTTCATGGCCGAGGCCTGGGGCGCCTTGGGGGCCGGGAGCGGGGCCGCGGGCTCGGCGGAGGAGGAGGGCGTCCCCGAGGCCACGCAAGGCCCGCTGCTTCCCCCTCCTCCTCCTCCTCCGCCTCCTCCTCCTCCTCCGAGCTCCTTCAGCTCCACGGCCGGCGGCGCTGCCACCCGCACCGACATCATCCTCGTCGTCGTCGTCCTCTCTGCTCCAGCCCACTCCCACGGCGCCGGCTGCTCCTCGCCTCACACAGGCGCCTCAAAGGGGAGGAGACAGCACGCATGCGCGGGTCCCAAACCCCGCCCACATTGACCCGGGAGCCTCACGGGAAGCGGAGTCCTTGAACCAACGCTGACAACACAGCCTAGGAGAGGAAAGGACTCTCTTTCCCGGCAAGCACCGCGCGGGGAGCGTCGGATTAGACGGGGGGCGTGGCTAAAGGATGAGCAGGATTCGCCTCAGAGCCTCCTCGGGGATAGTACGCATGCGCGAAGTCAAAGCCCCGCCCATACAGACCCGGATGCCGGTACAGGGGCGTGGCTAAAGAATTATCAGGACACGCCTTAAGCGCCTCAGGGATAGTACGCATGCGCAAAGACAAAGCCCCGCCCATACAGACCCGGATGCCGGCCCAGGGGCGTGGCTAAAGAATGATCAGGACACGCCTTAAGCGTTTTAGGAATAGTACGCATGCGCAAAGATAAAGCCCCGCCCACATGGATCCGGGTGTACCGCCCGGGGGCGTGGCTAAGGAATAATCCGAACGCGATTCAGAGTCCTCAGGGGTAGTACGCATGCGCATAGAAAAAACCCCTCCCACACAGACCCGGATGCACGGCCCAGGGGCGTGGCTAAAGAATGATCAGGACACGCCTTAAGCGTCTCAGAAATAGTACGCATGCGCAAAGACAAAAACTCCGCCCACATGGACGCCGGTGAAATGCCCAGGGGCGTGGCTAAAGAATGATCCGAACGCGATTCACAGTCCTCAAGGATAGTACGCATGCGCAAAGATAAAACCCCGCCTGCACGGACCCGGGTGTACCGCCCAGGGGCGTGGCTAAAGATTGATCAGGACAGGCCTTAGCCGCCTCAGGGATAGTACGCATGCGCGAAGACAAAACCCCGCCCACACGGACCCGGGTGTACCGCCCAGGGGCGTGGCTAAGGAATTATCCGAACGCGATTCAGAGTTCTCAAGGATAGTGCGCATGCGCAAAGACAAAACTCCGCCCACACGGACGCGGGTGAACGGCTCAGGGGCGTGGCTAAGGAGCACCTCAGGAATAGTACGCATGCGCACAAACAAAAACTCCGCCCACAAGGACGCGGGTGAACGGCCCAGGGGCGTGGCTAAAGAATGATCCGAACGCGATTCAGTCCTCAGGGGTAGTACGCATGCGCAAACCAAAGCCCCGCCCACACGGACCCGGGTGTACCACCCAGGGGCGTGGCTAAAGAATGATCCGAACGCGATTCAGAGTCCTCAGGGGTAGTACGCATGCGCATAGACAAAACCCCTCCCACACGACGTGATGCACCGCCCAGGGGCGTGTCTAAGTAATTATCAGGGCAAGCCTTAGCCGCCTCAGGGATTGTACGCATGCGCAAAGATAAAACCCCACCCACACAGACCCGGATGCACGGCCCAGGGGCGTGGCTACAGTGTAATAAAAGCGAATAGTGGGCGGGGCGATGTTAATATCAAGCTCGCCTGAGTGTAGCACGCATGCGCAGAGACAAAACCCCGCCCAGATAGACCCGGATGGACTGCCCAGGGGTGTGGCTACAGTGTAATCATAGCGGATAGTGGGCGTGGCCATATTAGTATCTGGTTCGGCTGAGGGATAGTACGCATGCGCGAAGCCAAACCCCGCCCACTCAGACCCGGATGCACGCCCTAGGGGCGTGGCTAAAGAATGATTCCCGGTTTGCCGAAGTCTCAGGTATAGACAAACCCCCGCCCACATGGATAGTACGCATGCGCGAAGGCAAAATCCCCGCCCACACAGACCAAGATATGAAAAGGTTATCTCAGAGTAGTCTTCAGGATAGTGCGCATGCGCAGCAATTATGCCCCGCCCACACGGACCAAAGGCGTGGCCAAAGTATGATTAGAGAACGCCTCACAGAGCCGCCTCAGGAATAGTACACATGCGTGAAACTAAAAGAGAGCTTCTTCTAGCTCTATAGCGCCATCTGCTGGGCAAACGAGGAAAAGCGAAATTGTAAGCCTACCTCCAGCGCCACCTGTCGGCAGACCCTTTACTAGCAAGGAAAATCCCAATTGGGAATTTTAACCTTCATTTAACCTGTGCTAGATGCACAGGTTAAATGAAGGTAGGGAGGTTCAGAAAAATATCTACTTCTGCTTCATTGACTCTTCTAAAGCCTTTGACTGTGTGGATCATAACAAATTGTGGCAAGTTCTTGGTGGGATGGGCATCCCAAGCCCCCTTCCCTCTCTCCTGAGGAATCTGTCCAAGGACCAAGTAGCCACAGTCAGAACTGACCACGGAGGAACAGACGGGTTCAGGATTGGGAAAGGCGTCCGGCAAGGCTGCATCTTCTCACCCAACCTATTTAACTTGTATGCAGAACACATCATGCGAGGATGTGCGGGGCTTGAGGAATGCAAAGCTGGGGGGAAAATGGCTGGAAGAAACATTAACAACCTTAGATATGCAGATGACACCACTCTGATGGCCGAAAGCGAGGAGGAGCTGAGGAGCCTTCTAATCAAGGCGAAAGAAAAAAGCGCAAAAGCCGGGTTGCAGCTAAACGTCAAAAAAACCAAGATTATGGCAACAAGAATGATTGACAACTGGGAAATAGAGGGAGAAAAGGTGGAGGCCGTGACAGACGTTGTATTTCTAGGCGGGAAGATTACTGCAGATGCAGACTGTGGCCAGGAAATCAGGAGACGCTTCCTTCTTGGGAGGAGAGCAATGTCCAATCTCGATAAAATAGTCAAGAGTAGAGACATTAGACTGGCAACAAAGATCCATTGCCTAGTCAAAGCCATGGTATTCCCTGTAGTCACCTACGGATGTGAGAGCTGGACCTTAGGGAAGGCTGAGTGAAGGAAGAGAGATGCTTTTGAGCTGTGGTGTTGGAGGAAAGTTCTGAGAGTGCCTTGGACTGCGAGAAGGTCCAACCAGTCCATCCTCCAGGAAATAAAGCCCGGCTGCTCACTGGAGGGAAGGAGACAAGAGGGAAAGCAGAAGTCCTTTGGCCACATCATGAGGAGACAGCAAAGCCTAGAGAAGACAATGATGCTGGGGAAAGTGGAAGGCAAAAGGAAGAGGGACCGACCAAGGGCAAGATGGCTGGATGGCATCCTTGAAGCGACTGGACTGACCTTGAAGGAGCTGGCGGTGGTGACGGCCAACAGGGAGCTCTGGCGTGGGCTGGTCCATGAGGTCACAAAGAGTCGGAGACGACTGAACGAATGAACAACAGATGCACTTTAACAGTCTTGTGTTTTATCTCTTTGTATTACAAACTTGAGCCCTGCCTCAGGTATGATTATTATTACTAATCAATTACTTAATAATAATATATATTAGTTCTTATATTTTCCAGACTCCATTTCTCAGAATCCCCCAACCAGCACAAATATGTCGGTTTGAACAACTCTGGCCAATGCAAAGAATGGAAAAGTAACTTTCCCTTCCAGAGAAAAAAAGCGGAATATAAATAAACATAATAATCATAAGCAACCACAATAATTACTTACTTACTTAGGCGATCCCTCGTTGTCCGAGTAAGTTCGGTGTCCTGGCAGTGGGTGTCAGTGTATGATTTATGTATGATGTATGTTTGAATGCAATTTTATGTAGTAGGATTGTAATTGTAATAGAATTGGATTGCCAGGATGTAGTTTGACACAGAAGGGTTAAACAGCAAAGTAACAAGCTGTGAGAATGTGACCCTGAGTTCTTGCTGTGTGCAAGATTAGGGAGTGCCAGAGATAAACTCCCTTCCAGCTGCAGTTTGCATTAGTTCCTATCTCTTTCGGTTTGTGTTCTTCACGTCTGTCCGCTGATGGTGTATGTTGTCTATTTTGAGCTGCTTTAGTAAAGCTAAAACCTGCTTTTTACCGGAGACTCCAGAGTCTATTATTCTGAGCTTCAGCAATACTCTGCTACATGCCAACTGTGGGTACGTAGATGACTGGCATCTTCTCTCTTCCGCAGTGAGGGCATCAGTTTCCAGGTGGAAGGCGGTCCCGGTCGGGGTTGGCTTGATGCGCCTTCCTCTTGGCACGTTTCTCTCTTTCACCCTCCATTTGTGCCTCTTCAAACTCCACAGCACTGCTGTTCACAGCTGACCTCCAGCTGGAGCGCTCAAGGGCCAGGGCTTCCCACTTCTCAGTGTCTTTCCCTGGTTTTTAAGGTTGGCTTTGAGGACATCTCTCAATTTCTTTTCCTGTCCACCAGCATTTCGTTTTCCGTTCTTGAGTTCGGAGTAGATCAACGTTGTCAGGCATCTGGACAACGTGGCCAGTCCAGCGGAGTTGATGGCGGAGGAGCATTACTTCAGTGCTGGTGGTCTTTCCTTCTTTCAGCACGCTACGTTTGTCCGCTTGTCTTCCCAAGAGATTTGCAGGATTTTCCGGAGGCAGCACTGATGGAATCATTCCCGGAGTTGCATGTGACTCTGTAGACAGTCCACGTTTCACAAGCATATACCAGGGTTGGGAGGGGAATGGCTTTATAAACAAGCACCTTGGTTTCCCTACAGATGTCCTGGTCCTCAAACACTCTCTGCTTCATTCGGAAAAATGCTGCACTCGCAGAGCTCAGGCAGTGTTGTATTTCAATCTCAGTGCTGACGTCTGTAGACAGTCCACGTTTCACAGGTGTATATCAGGGTTGGGAGGACAATAGCTTTATAAACAAGCACCTTGGTCTCCCTACAGATGTCCCGGTTCTCAAACACTCTCTGCTTCATTCGGAAAAGTGCTGCACTTGCAGAGCTCAGGCGGTGTTGTATTTGTCTCAGTGTTGACGTCTGTAGACAGTCCATGTCTCACAGGTGTATAGCAGGGTTGGGAGGACAATAGCTTTATAGACAAGCACCTTGGTCTCCCTACAGATGTCCTGATCCTCAAACACTCTCTGCTTCATTCGGGAAAATGCTACACTCGCAGAGCTCAGGCGGTGTTGTATTTCCGTGTCAATGTTGACTTTGGTGGAGAGGTGGCTACCAAGGGAGCGGAAATGGTCAACCTTTTCTAACATGACCCCATTAAGCTGCATCTCTGGCATTGGAGAGGGATTGGCTGGTGAATGCTGGAAGAGGACTTTGGTTTTCTCGATGTTCAATGACAGGCCGAGCTTCTCGTATGCTTCTGCAAAGGTGTTTAGAGTGGCTTGTAAGTCTTCTTCTGAATGTGCACAGACAAAGTTGTCATCAGCATACTGGAGTTCTATAACAGACGTTGTTGTGACCTTGGTTTTGGCTTTCAGTCTGCTGAGGTTGAATAGCTTGCCATCTGTCTGATAGATTATTTCCACTCCGGTGGGAAGTTTCTCATCAACAAGGTGAAGTATCATAGTGATGAAGATGGAGAATAGAGTGGGGCAATAACACATCCCTGTTTGACGCCTGATTCCACCTTAAATGGGTCACTTTGGGAGCCATTGCTGTCCAAAACTGTTGCCATCATGTCATCGTGGAGGAGCCGCAGGATGTTCACAAATTTGTCAGGGCCCCTGATTTTCTGGAGGATGGTCTGCCTTTACAGAGGCAGAGATGAACCAAACAAAAACCCAGTTTGCCCAGAGAGCGCTGCGATTCACTGTGTCAACAATAATAATTGGGAATTGATCCTACATTCTATTTGTATGTTTGCATTTCTTTTGCAGAATTTCCTGTGGCTTTTAAAGAAAGGTTTGAAAAAAGAATGAGCAGTTGAGTTGCTGTATACTGGGTTGTTGTAGGTTTTTTCGGGCTATATGGCCATGGTCTAAAGGCATTCTCTCCTGACGTTTCGCCTGCATCTATGGCAAGCATCCACAGACATGGATGCTTGCCATAGATGCAGGCGAAAGGTCAGGAGAGAATGCCTCTAGAACATGGCCATATAGCCCGAAAAAACCTACAACAACCCAGTGATTCCGGCCATGAAAGCCTTCAACAATACATTGCTGTATACTGTTGTTTAATTGTTGTAAATATTTCTTAAATGGCTTCAATAGCTATTTATATGTTTCAGGTTTCAAATCGTATTGCTTTTTTTTAAATGTTGTGATGATGATACGGAATTTTTGACCCCAATAGAATGAGGAAGTCTGCCTGGCAAGCATTGCTAACCATAATTAATAACCAAAGTTTCCCAGGACGGCACAATAGTTGGAGGGCTTGCCTCTTAAAGCCAACGTCTCTTGTATAACATGGTGCCGTATATTTAATACTTTTGGTTGGGACTTTCCCCCTGGAATAACAGCCCAATTCAGTGCATAGATACAGACAAGATCGAATGTGTCCAAATTTCCTTCTGTCGGGAGGGATTGGATTGTGCCTTCCTGCAGGGCAGAAGGAGGTTGGACTAGATGGCCTTTGGAGGGCCCCTTCCAGCACGGGGTTTCTGTGCAAGTCTTTGCAATGAACCAGGAGTATAAAACAACGGCGTATATTTATTTGAAAACCGCATATTGAAAATACAACTCTTTTTTTCCTCTACAAAGTAGGAAAACACTGTTGTGGTGCCAATGTCCAAAAGGGTCAGCCTGGGCTGGTTGACCAAATAGATGTCCATTGCAAATGACAACAAAGGTCACACTATATACAGTCCGTGCAAGGCTCGGTGCAAATGCCGATACAAAAAGCAACCAACGGAAGGGTGAAACATAGAGTATCCTTCTTGAGTTGACGTTGAAAGCTTTGGGATCCTTTTCATGTTGTTGGTTGGCAAGCGTGAATGTTGCAATTAGCACTGAGTAGCCATGAAGTTGGCCAAGTCAATCACTGAGGGTATCTGCATAGAGGTAGCCTGGTCTCTGTTGCCTGGAGGCATCCTCTGTTTGGGAAGTGTTCGTTGCAACATTCACACTTTAGCAAGCTTGAATAGCATTGAGTAGCCATGAAGTTTGCAAAGTCAATCAGTGAGGGTATCTGCAAAGAGGTAGCCTGGCCAATGTTGCCTGGAGGCATCCGTTGTTTGGGAAGTGTCACTTGCAACATTCACACTTGCAGTTAGCAAACTTAAGTAACATTGAGTCGCCATGAAGTTTGCAAAGTCAATTAGTGAGGGTATCTGGATAGAGGTAGCCTGGGGACCCTTCGAACTCCAAGATATTATTATTCAATAACTCTGTTTACCGACATGAACTTTGTAAATGTCTATAAGGCTGGATGGCCATCTGTCGGGAGGGCTTTGATTGTGTCTTCCTGCCTGGCAGAAAGGGGTTTTTTACTGGATGGCCTTAAGGGACCCTTCCAACTCCCAAGATCCCGTGATTCAATAACTCTGTTTACTTGCATGAACCTTCTAAATGTCTATAAGACTGAATGGCCATCTGTCGGGAGGGCTTTGTGCCTTCCTGGCACAATCCTGGCACAAGGGGTTGGACTAGATGGCATTGATCGACCATCTGCGCATGGTTCCATACTTCACACTTTAACAACATAACCATTCAATGCTAAGGCTTCCTACCAAAATGGAACTGTAGAGGAGAGTCTATTGAACAAGCCAGTACCTGCCGCATACCAGTAACTGCCATCTGTTGAGGAGTTACCAAGGTGGAAGCATTACTTTTTCTACTAAGGCTTCCTGCCAAAATGGAACTGTAGAGGAGAGTCTACTGAACAAGCCAGTACTTGCCACATACCAGTACTGCCATCTGTTGAGGAGTTACGAAGGTGGAGGCATTACTTTTTCTGCTAATGCTTCCTGTCAAAATGGAACTGTAGAGGAGCATCTACTGAACAAGCCAGTACCTGCCGCATACTAGTATTGCCATCTGTTGAGGAGTTACAAAGGTGGAGGCATTACTTTTCATTCAACCCTCGTAGTCCCAATCTATTCTGCTTTGGAAAGACTTTACTTAGAATAAATACTTTATAGCAGAGGCTTGATGGTCATCTGTCAGGAGGGCTTAGGTTGTGCCTTCCTACCTGGCAGAAAAGGGGTTGGACTAGATGGCCTTTGGAGTCCCTTCCAACTTTAGGATTCATACCTATGTACCGTTCAGCAAAAGCTGGAGATAGGGGAGACCTCCAAGAAGGAAATTGAGAGGAAATGGCAAAGGTCTTGTTGACTTTTCATGCCAGGCGTCTCTGTGCCAATCCGCTTCGAGTTTCCAGCCAAGGTGCAAAACAAAACAAGGATTCAGCACCTTGGATAGTTCTACCAAAGTTCAAACTTAAGTCACACTTTCTCAGAGGAAGGCATTGGCTAACTTCCTCTTGAGTAGATCTTGCCAAGGAAAACCTATCATAGGGTTGCCGTAGTGTGGAAACAACACAATAAAACAACAACAACAACAACAACAAGCAGGGTCCCCATATCTTTGAACGTGAGTTGTTCGCACTCTCTCAGCCTCAAGAGGAAGGCATGGAGAAACTCCTTGGAAGGAAACACAACCAAGAATGAAGGGATCCTTTGAAGATGCAGGTGTCACGTCAGGAGGAGAAAATGCTGTGAGAACACCTTGGCCATACAACCACACAATAACACAATGATTATGGCTGTGCTTTCGACACTAGAACGAATGTAGTTCGAGTTCTCAATGCTATGGAATCCTGAAAGTTGTAGTTTGAGCCCTCCCTGCCAAACTTGGAACGTTTTGCCGCGGAGGGGCAAAGTCCGACATTATAGCGATGGGCATAGCTAAGAGTACATCCTATTGCAGGTATGGGCCAACTTCGGGCCTCCCTCCAGGTGTTTTGGACTCCAACTCCCATAATTCCTAACAGCCTACCGGCTGTTAGGAATTGTGGGAGTTGGAGTCCAAAACACCTGGAGGGAGGCCCGAAGTTGGCCCATGCCTGTGAGTATTGGGACACAGAGACCTCTCGGCATGTCCTTAGAAGTCGGAATCGAGGTCCAGCACTTCGGCGTCCATGAGGTTTGTCCGGGAATGGATGGGAGGCAACGGGCCTCTCCTCGCTTGCGTCTGCTGGAACCAGGAGGCGGAGGGGTGTTGTGGAAGGGGACCCCGACTCGTCGTTGGCTGCCGATTCCCGGTGAACAGCCACGCACCATTTTCCTCCGGTTGCCCCACGTCGTCGGGGCAGAACGGGTGGCTGATGGGGTTCCTCCGGGTGAAATGATCCGTCGGAACTCGCTCGTTCGGGCAATGGTGGGCGGTGGGCGCCAGGACCGCATTCAAGGCTTGCGACTCCCACGGACTGGAGACGAAGCGCTTGGCTTCCGGGAGACGGGGCAGCCGCGGGACGGAGCTGACGAAGAAGTCCAGGCCGCCATATGGATCGCCGTTTTCCGCCGCCGTCCGCGAGGGAGACACTTCCTTCCTCTTCCGCCGCTTGGTTTTCTTTGCCTTGCGGCTCGTTTTCTTTCTCCGGCGCTCGTCCTCTGCCAGCCACAAGCTGGCCCTCTCCTCTGGAGGCACTGCAGAGGGGAAAAGGCACACAACATGTTAACAACAATGTGTTAACAAAACCCTAAACGGTTCGGGACCTGCCAACCTGCATGACCGCATCTCTGTTTATGAACCCACACGTTCACTTCGATCATCCAGAGAGGCCCTGCTCGTGATTCCGCCTGCGTCGCAGGAACGTTTGGTGGGGACACGAGATAGGGCCTTTTCTGTGGTGGCCCCCCAACTCTGGAACACCCTCCCCAAAGATCTTAGACAGGCCCCTACATTGGCAGTCTTTAGAAAAAACTTGAAGACCTGGCTGTTCCGATGCACCTTTCCAGAATAGGAATCTCCAATAACAAGTCCCAGAAGCACTTTCGTAGAGCTAAGATTGTTGCACACTGCACACTGCACTTGCCCTATAATCCCCACATACCACCTGTCACGTCAGCACTTTTAATCCTGTACCCACTACTCTGGCCTGGCCCAGTTTCTATAGTGTTTTGATGTATAGTTTATTGCATGTCGTTATACTGCTTTAACTGTTTTTAATTTGCTTTAGGTGTTGTATTGTTGTGTTGTGTTTTGAGGCCTCGGCCTTTGTAAGCCGCACTGAGTCCTTCGGGAGATGCTAGCGGGGTACAAATAAAGTTAATAATAATAATAATTAATATTTCTAAAATACAGTGTTCCCTCGCTATTTCGTGGTTTGCTTTTTGCGGACTCGCTGTTTCGCGGGTTTTTTGCCTCCTGGCATAAGATGGAGTGTGGAAGGAGGTTTCGTAATGTTCGTTTGTTGGAATAATATAACTCAAAAACCACTGGACGAATTGACACCAAATTTGGACACAAGACACTTTGGACACAAGACACTGCCAATGGGATTTTGACCCTGCATCAATAGGAGCATAGTGTCTAGATCGAGGGAAGTCATGCTACCCATGCTCTATTCTGCTTTGGTTAGACCACACTGGAATATTGTGTCCAATTCTGGGCACCACAATTCAAGAGAGATATTGACAAGCTGGAATGTGTCCAGAGGAGGGCGACTCAAATGATCAAGGGTCTGGAGAACAAGCCCTATGAGGAGCGGCTTAAGGAGCTGGGCATGTTTAGCCTGAAGAAGAGAAGGCTGAGAGGAGACATGATGAGGGCCATGTATAAATATGTGAGAGGAAGCCACAGGGAGGAGGAGGGAGCAAGCTTCCTTTCTGCTTCCATGGAGACTAGGACTCGGTGAAATGCAATGGCTTCAAACTACAAGAGAGGAGATTCCATCTGAACATGAGGAAGAACTTCCTGACTGTGAGAGCCGTTCAGCAGTGGAACTCTCTGCCCCGGAGTGTGGTGGGGCTCCTTCTTTGGAAGCTTTTAAACAGAGGCTGGATGGCCATCTGTCAGGGGTGATTTGAATGCAATATTCCTGCTTCTTGGCAGAATGGGGTTGGACTGGATGATGGTACCAGGAGGTCTCTTCCAACTCTTTGATTCTATGATTCTATGATAGATGGGTAGATAGATGGAGGCTGGATAGATCAACACACAGACAGAAAGACAGACAATAGATACTAGAGATAGAATGGACAAGATAGATAGATAGATAGATAGATAGATAGATAGATAGATAGATAGATAGATAGATAGAGAGAGATTGGGTGGGTGGATGGATGGATAGATAGATAGATAGATAGATAGAGATAGAGATAGAGATAGAGATAGAGATTGGGTGGATGGATGGATGGATAAGTAGATGGAGATTGGATGGATGGATGGATGGATGGATGGATAGATAGATAGATAGATAGATAGATAGATAGATAGATAGATAGATAGATAGAGATTGGGTGGGTGGATGGATAGATGGATAGATAGATAGATAGATAGATAGATAGATAGATAGATAGATAGATAGAGATTGGGTGTGGATGGATGGATAAGTAGATGAGATGGATGGAGATGGATAGATAGATAGATAGATAATAGATAGATAGATAGATAGATAGATAGAGATTATGGGTGGGTGGATGGATGGATAGATAGATAGATAGATAGATAGAGGATTGGGTGGGTGGGTGGATGGATGGATGGATAGTAGATGGAGATGGATGGATGGATAGATAGATAGATAGATAGATAGATAGATAGATAGATAGATAGATAGAGATTGGGTGGGTGGATGGATGGATAGATAGATAGATAAAGATAGATAGAGATTGGGTGGGTGGGTGGATGGATGGATGGATAAGTAGATGGAGATTGGATGGATGGATGGATAGATAGATAGATAGATAGATAGATAGATAGATAGATAGAGATTGGGTGGATGGATGGATGGATGGATAGATAGATAAGTAGATGGAGATTGGATAGATAGATAAATAGATAGATAGATAAATAGATAGATAGATAAGTAGATGGAGATTGACTAGGACAAGGAACAATGGCTTCAAACTACAAGAGAGGAGATTCCATCTCAACACGAGGAAGAACTTCCTGACTGTGAGAGCTGTTCAGCAGTGGAACTCTCTGCCTCGGAGTGTGGTGGAGGCTCCTTCTTTGGAAGCTTTTAAACAGAGGCTGGATGGCCATCTGTCAGGGGTGATTTGAATGCAATATTCCTGCTTCTTGGCAGAATGGGGCTGGACTGGATGGCCCATGAGGTCTCTTCCAACTCTATGAAATGCCTTACCAGGTGTGGCGACAGGTGTCACGGAGACATCCTGAGACAGAATGGCCCCTCTCCTGGCCACCATCTTGGTGACGTGTTGTGCCCACGCTGAGGAAACATCTCCTGATGGTTCGTTGATATCGAAAACCATACCAGCTGGAATTGGGAGACAGGAAGGGAAGAGATTTGAGTGATTTTTTAATTTCCTTAATGTCCTTAATATTCTTGTTACCTGCAAGATAGGCACGGCGTCCCACCTGCCATTCCCTTCCACTTACCGACGGGACCCTCGTGCGAGACGGTGCGCAGGCTGAAGGACAGCTCCTGGTTGGGGTTGTTCTGCAGCTCCTTCCTCTTGGAGAAAGCCTTGGCGATCATCTTGCTCTTCTTGATCCGCTTGGGCTCGTCGCCACTCCGTCCTGTCAGCCTGGAAGAAGGAGAAGACACGGGCAGAGGAGGGCTGGCAAAGGACATGCGTGTCATGTCCCGCACTTAATGGTGACTAATATATGGAATGCTTGGCTGTTTTGAGATGGGGAACATAGGTCAGGACTGGGAGAAAAGTATCTGCTTGTGGATGCTGATAGTTTTCCCCCCAGGTTGCGTGGATTGTGGTATCCCGACCTGTACGGTGAACTCTTGGCACCCTCTGCCTTGATGAACCTTGGACCCTGGTGAGGATCCTCTTGTGGACTCTGTTTGCTCCTGTGTCTTGTGTGGAACTTGATGCACCTTGAACCCCTGGACTGACTCTTAACTATGGACTTTGGATCATCCTTGAACTCTGAACACTTCAAAAAGGTGCCTGTTCCGACTTATGTAAAATTTGACTTAAGAACAAACTTGTAGGATATATCTTGTTTGTAACTCAGGAATTCCCCCCCGATCCTGGGCGTCAGGCCCCATCCCTTACATGCCCCAGGTGTTTCCAGTACCTGCCCCAGGTGTCTCTGTTATTTATTCCTGGGTACTTCCCTTACCTGCCCCAGGTGCTTCTCTTACCTGCCCCAGGTGCTTCTCTTACCTGCCTCAGGTGCATCCATTACATGCCCCAGGTGCTTCCCTTACCTGCCCCCAGATGGTTCCCTTACCTGCCCCAAGTGCTTCCTTACCTGCCCCCAGGTGCATCCATTACCTGCCCTTGGTGCTTCTCTTACCTGCCTCAGGTGCTTCCATTACCTGCACCAGGTGTGTCCGTTACCTGCCTCAAGTGCTTCTCTTACCTGCCCCCAGGTGCATCCATTACCTGCACCAGGTGTGTCCATTATCTGCCCCAAGTGCTTCCTTACCTGCCCCCAGGTGCATCCATTACCTGCCCCGGGTGCTTCCTGTACCTGTCCCCCAGATGCACCCATTACCTGCCCCAGGTGCTTCCCATATCTGCCCCACGTGCATCCCTTACCTGCCCCAGGTGCTTCCATTACCTTCCCCAGGTGCTTCCCTTACCTGCCTCAGGTGCCTCCTGTACCTGCCCCAGGTGTGTCCGTTACCTGCCTCACGTGCTTCCATTACCTGCCCCAGGTGTCTCCATTACCTGCCTCAGGTGCTTCCATTACCTGCACCAGGTGTGTCCATTACCTGCCCCAGGTGCTTCCCTTACCTGCCCCAGGTACGCTTCCAGATGAGCAGTGTGGCTTTTGTCCAGACCCAGGTGCTCATGGAGATGCCAGTCCCAAACATGGCAAAGAGGTTGATCTTCTCTACCAAGAGGCTGGGGCGGTTCTTGATCTCGCAGTCAGGGATCGGCTTCTTGGTCTCGGTGGCAATGGTCACGTTGGCCTCGCACCTGCGGAAGTACAGAAAGGAAAACGTGGCTGGGAATGGAATCCTCCCTCTCTCCAAGGGTGCCTCTGCACTGCAGAATGAATGCAGTTTGGTACCATTTCAACTGCCATTGCTCAATACGATGGAACCCTGGTAGTTATAGTTTTGCAAGGTCCTTATCCTTCTCTTTGGTGCCTCAGCAAACTACAGCTTCCAGATTCCATAGCAGTTAAAATGAAATCAAACTGTATTCATTCTATAACCTTCAGGTTACTTTTTAGAGCATTAAAAAAACCCTTTAGGATCGATTTAAAATGGAACCTATATATTACACTATGTAACACATTTTTTTTTTGTTCCTGGTTATACCCCACTTGTTCTCTCCACAAGCAAATTACTAGTAATTGCTTATTATTACTTATTTATTTATTATTCGAACTTCTATGCGGCCACTCCCCTGGGGCTCGGAGTGGCTGACAAGAATGGCTAAAATCTAACACAACTTAAAAACAATTTAAAACAATTTAAAAACAGCAGTATCAAAGATCAAAGGCCTGTCGAAACAGGTATGTCTGACATGCCCTGCGGAAAGCTGATAGGTCCCGCAAGGCATGGACTTCAGGTGGCAGAGTATTCCAGAGTGATGGTGCCACTGCTGTGAAGGCTCTGTGCCTGGTTGCTGTTAGGCGCAAGGTCTTGACACCGGGAATTTCCAATAGATCTTGGTCCTCAGAACGGAAGGATCTCTGGGGTTGGTAGGGGGTGAGGCGGTCCCTCAGGTACATCGGCCCCAGACCATGCAAGGCCTTAAAGGTGCGTACCATCCCTTTGAAAGTGATCTGGTGCTCAATTGGTAACCAATGCACCTGTAGTAAGATTGGGGTTATGTGGCATCTCATCGGAATTCCCGCAAGAAGCCGAGCAGCTGCATTTTGTTCCAACTTGAGCTTCCGGATCATCAACAGAGGAAGGCCAATGTAGAGGGCGTTACAGTAGTCCAGTCTTGAGATGACCGTGGCCTGGATCACCGTAGCTAGGTCGTCCCTGGACAGGGAGGGGGCCAGCCGTCTAGCCTGCCGCAGGTGAAAGAAGGCGGTTCTGCTCACGGCGGAGAGAGACCTGGGCCTCCATCGTCTGCAGAGGGTCCAAAAGGACTCCCAGACTTTTGACCAATGATGACGGGCGTAACACCTCGCCATCCAGGGTGGGCAGCTGGATGTCCCCACTGCCCGGTTGACCCAGCCATAGGATCTCCGTCTTTGCTGGATTCACCCTCAACCTGCTGGCATGCAGCCATCCAGTCACGGCCTCGAGGCACTGATGGAAACAATCAGGTACAGAGTCCAGTCGGCCTTCCAACTTCAGAATTGTTGCGCAGCTAGCTGAGTGTCAGCTGCATTAAGATCACTCTGACCAAAAAGGTCATGAGTTCGAAGCCAGCCCAGGTTGGAGTGGGTTTCCAACCAATTGTGTAGCCTGTTGTCGACCTTTCCAACCCGAAAGACAGTTGCATCTGTCAAGTAGGAAAATTAGGTACCACCTTAAAGTGTGGGGAGGCTAAATTAACTGATTTATGAGGCCATAAAGAAGACTCCAGCAAAGCATTCCAGCGGGGAAGCATGCGGGGAATGCGGAAGTGCTTCATCAGCGTCGCAGATGGACGATGAAAGCGACAGCTCCCCTGGCGGCCAGAAAAAAAGTTAAATAGCCTCTGTGTATGTCTGTATATGTTTGTATGTCAAAAACTGGCATTGAATGTTTGCCATATATGTGTACACTGTAATCTGTCCTGAGTCCCCTGCGGAGTGAAAAGGGCAGAATATAAATACTGTAACTAACTAAATAAATAAATAAATTCAACACAAGCTGAGTGTCATCAGCGTACTGGTAACACTCCAGGCCACTTATGATGTTTGAGAGGACTGAGTTCGATTGATCTCGAATTATGTATTTGTAAAGTTCGGAGTAGAACCCAGAGCGGACACAATCCCTTCAAAGCAATGTTTCTCTCCTCCTGAAACTACTCACAAAACATGTTCCCGGAAGCTGCGCTCCCATTCCGCCTGGTTGAAGAAGTCGTAGAAGTGGCAGCCGAAGGTGATGAAGACGAAGCCGAAAGCCAGGAAGCCAAAGATCCCTGGAGAGAGAGAGAGAGACAAACGGGGGGGAAAAGGAGACGGTCAGGCATTCAAGTGCACGGATGGTCACGGAAAGGGCTGCAAATTATCCTCAGCGTGCATCTGTCAAATCGAGTCCTGTAGAATCTCTTTCTCTGGGATTTTATTTTAAAGCAGAGTTTGGATGGCCATCTGTCAGGAGGGCTTTGATTGTGCCATGGTCATCAAATGGAGCCTCCAACATCATCTCAAGTCTACCATGCACTACATAACACTACGATTTTTGTTCCTGGGTTATCCTTTGACCAGTATCTGGCCCCTTGGAGTGTGTCTGGTGTTGCTGCAAGGAGGTCCTCCGTTGTGCATGTGGCAGGGCTCAGGGTGTATTGCAGCAGGTGGTCAGTGGTTTGCTCCTCTCCCCACTCGCATGTCGTGGATTCCACTTTCTTGAGGTTGGCTCTGCATCTCGTGGTGCCAGAGCGCAGTCTGTTCAGCGCCTTCCAAGTCGCCCAGTCCTCTGTGTGCCCAGGGGGGAGTCTCTCATTTGGTATCAGCCATTGATTGAGGTTCTGGGTTTGAGCCTGCCACTTTTGGACTCGCGCTTGCTGAGATGATCCAATGAGTGTCTCTGTAGATCTTAGAAAACTATTTCTAGATTTCAGTCATTGACGTGCTGGCTGATACCCAAACAAGGGATGGGCTGGAGATGTCACTGCCTTGGTCCTTTCACTATTGGCTGCTACTTCCCGGCGGATGTCAGGTGGTGTAATACCAGCTAGACAGTGTAATTTCTCCAGTGGTGTAGGGTGCAGACACCCCGTGATTATGCAGCATGTCTCATGAAGAGCCACATCCACTGTTTTAGTGTGGTGAGATGTGTTCCACACTGGGCATGCATACTCAGCAGCAGAGCAGCATAGCACAAGGGCGGATGTCTTCACTGTGTCTGGTTGTGATCCCCAGGTTGTGCCAGTCTGACTGCTATTTTCATGATACAATGAGTTCAGCCTCTTTGCTCCTCTCATTCTTGCAAATGGCTCTGCCTCTAGGGAAGCAGTTGGATCTGGATATGAGGCTCTTAAAGGGAAAGCGCTACCTATGGTTCCCTCCCACAGACTATACAATAAAGAACTGAACCCCTTCTAATGAAGGGAGGCTTAATTAGAGAAGATAGTCAAGTCTCTGTGAATCTCTCATCATCGTGCCTCAATCAATTCAGCCTAGTTTGTGCCAAAGATACAAAGTTTCTGGAGCAAAAGAACTACTTTCAAAGTCAGGACTGCACAACTAAACATGAAATAACACTTTCAAACCAGGAACAGAACAGGGTGCCTCTGCACTGGAGAATGAATATAGATTGACCCCACTTGGATGGCTATCTCTCAATGCTATTGAATCATGGGATTTGTAGTTCTATGTCTTGAGACTCCCTGCCAAATAGCGATAGTTTCTCACCAAACTGCAAATCCCAGAGTTTGATTATACTGAGTCCAAGTAGTGTCAAAGTGCATCAATTCCACAGTGCACCGGGACTGTTTCACAGCTGGCTGGGAGTCAGCTGCATTAAGATCTCTACTGACCAAAAAGGTCAGGAGTTCGAAGCCAGCCTGGGTCGGAGTGAGTGTCCGACCAGTTTGTGTAGCTTGCTGTCGACCTTTGCAGCCCAAAAGACAGTTGCATCTGTCAAGTAGGAAAATTAGGTACCGCCTACGCGGGGAGGCTAATTTAACTAATTTACGATGCCATAAAAATCTCCAGCAAGCCTGCAAAGAATGAGGAAGTACTTCATCAGTGTCACAAATGGATGGTGAAGCAACAGCTCCCCTGGTGACCAGAATACCCTCATGAAAAGTTGGAATGTTAAATTGTCTTGGGGGTCAGCCTGAGTTTGAACTTGAACCTGATTCTCTGTTTGTTCCTCCTGATGCTAATGAAAATATATTTACTGATGCTAATGAAAATGTACCTCTTGATGCCAATGTTCCTGAAATTAGTGAGGAAGGAACTTCTGTAGATTTGGAAAATGAAAGTACCAGTGTTCATGAGAATGTTTCAGAGGGAAGCCATGACCTTTCACTCCCTTCTGCACCTGGGAACCTTAATGAGAATAGAAGGGGCCAGATCTGGCAAGACAGAAGTAAATCACTCAGCTTGCGAAGGTCTTCCAGATTAAAAGAAATACAAACAACGGCTTCAAAGCAGAGGGGCGGTTCACGGAACCAATTCTTCGGCTTTAAGTGCCTTCCGCCGGGCTGACTTTCTCAGTTCAGGCATCGTTTCAGATTGATGAAGACCTTGGCAGTTCTCCCGGTTTCCCTGGCCATGTCTTGAAAGATTTCTAGGATATCAAGTACGGTTAGTGGATTGCTAACAGGTTCCAGTATTTTACAGTGTGGCTTTGGGTTTTGTTTTGTTCATTTAAATTCATGTTTGCTGATTTTGCTGTGGCTTTTGACTTGCATTTTTCCTTTATTTTGTAACCATTTTTCTTCAATAAAAAAGGATTGTTTTTCACAGTCAAGTGTGGTGGATAGTTATCTTAGGGCCTCGTTCCCTGCTCTGGATTGCAACAAATTGCCTCTGTGTCTGTCTATATATGTTATGTGTCTATGGCGTTGAATGTTTGCCGTGTATATGTACATTGTAATCCACCCTGAGTCCCCTGCGGGGTGAGAAGGGAGGAATATAAATACTGTCAATAAATAAATAGAGGCAGTGTAGATCAGGCCCACTTACCCAGGCGTAGCATAGTCTCATTGATTTTGCTGGCAGCCTTCTCGCTCAAGAGGCCCGGGTGGTTGTTCTTAATGGAGAATAATGTCATCACACCTAGACCGAAGGAGACATAACATCTGGTTAGCACCTAGTCCGCGTTATGCAAACTGTCACAAGATAGGTGCATGACTTAAGAGTTTTGTAATCATGTCCTCCTTGAAATGCTGCACACTGGACAGGCACAATGCCACAAAGACAAGCAAAACATAGCAGAGTTCATTCACAGTGTTGTGGTTCAGCCTGTGATTGTTTCTCTGCCTGAGGTTTCAGAGGACATTGAACAAGCCTGTGTAGATGCACAGGAGGGTGGTTCTGTACCTGATGGAGCTGGGGATACTGGGAATGTTAAGCCAGCAGTGGATTTCCACTTAGCGGCAGATGCAGAGGCTAACACAGTGTTTCTCAACCTGGGGGTCGCAACCCCTGTGGGGGTCGCAAGGGCGTGTCAGAGGGGTCGCCGAAGACCATACAGTATTTTCTGTTGATCATGGGAGTTCTGTGTAGGAAGTTTGGCTCAATTCTATCATTGGTGGGGTTCAAAATGCTCTGCTGAACTTGGTCCACAGAATCACAATGGACGATTTGCAAATGCCTAGAGAAGTATTCTATGGTCAACTTCTGCAAAAGGTGGACCATAGGATCGCTCTAGAGGACCAACAAATGTCTAGAGAACTGTTCTTCCTAAGAATGTCTAGGTCCCTGAACATATTGTGATGAACTTTGGCAAGAAGTAGACCATACAACCATACTGGAGGATGCAAAGTTGCCGAGTGAACTCCCTAGGAATCTCTGAGTCTTCCAGTTCAATTCTATGGTTAACTTCTGTTGGATACGGACCACAGAATCTCAGTGGAGGATCTACAAATACCTAGAAAAGTATTATCTCTAGGACGTTCTAGGTCCTTCAGCATAACATTATGGTCAATGTCTGCTGAACGTAGCAAAACATAAACCTGCCGATTGAGAGGGCCAACCATTAGGGTGGAAGGGTCACAGGAAGGAGAACGAAGCCCACCTCGGATCAGGAAATAGCCCCCGACGAGAAGCACCAGGCCGATGGGGGCCAGGACGAACCCAGCTCGATAGCGGTAGTTCTTGTACCCGACAAAACAGATGCCACTGACTGAATCTCCATCCACCTGCAGAGGTCAGAGATTGAGAAGTGTTAGACAGCTCTGTGGCGAAATGAAAATCACACATAGTTTACGTTTTACCAGTCCAGGGAAAGAAAATGTGCCATGCAGATTATCAGTAAAAAAACAAGACGTTTACTCTTTGTAACGCAGAGCACTTTGACACCACTTGGACTCAATACTATCAAACCCTGGGATTTGCAGTTTGGTGAGGAAACCATGAATGCAGGATTGCATGGTGTATAAAGGGGATGAAACCATGAATGCAATATTGCATGGTGTGTTATCTGAGTCTGAAGCTGAGCTGTTTGGGCCTTCTGAGCCTGACTTTGGACCTGAGCCTGACTTCCCTCAGGATGGCGAGGAGGCTGATGGTTTACAGATTCCTGTACATGTTTCAGGCAGGGCTGATAGTGTGGCTGCTGAAGGAGAAACAGCAAGTCGGTTCCCCGGGGAAAGGAATGTTTCTGCAGTTAGAGAGACTGATAGCGAGAGTGAAATCCCACACGGCCAGGTGGAGGATCCATCCCAGCTGGACCCAGATAAGGGGTTACATAGCCTTGAAGATAATGAATTAATGAGCAGAAAAGATTGTTTTCAATTAAGGCTTTGGAGAAGCACTCGCTTGGCCAGCAAGCGAGAAGCCAAAGGTGCCAAAGGTCAATGCAATGCTTTCATGTTCACAAAGGGTATTTAGTCTTGTAGCTGGGGTTGCATAGCCTTGAAGATAATGAATTAATGAGCAGACAAGATCGTTTTAATTAAGGCTTCGGAGAAGCACTTGCTTGGCCAGCAAGTGAGAAGCCAAAGGTGCCAAAGGTCAATGCAATGCTTTCATGTTCGCAAAGGGTATTTAGTCTTGCAGCTGACAGGCAGTTTTTGTCAGTCCAACATTGCTCTTCCCAAGTTAACTTCTGGAGATTTTCCTTGGCTTTTAGCAGCATGCTAAAGACCCAAGTCTGGGATTTGGGTCTTGTTTTCAACGGTTTACCATGGACTTTTGCTAAAGGATTATGCTTCATGTTTTTGCCTTTGGATCTTAGGAACGTTGCCTTTACATTTAAGTCTCTGCTTTGCCTATAAAACTTTTGCATTTCTATTTCTTTGTTTTGATTTTGCTTTTCTCAATAAACTACAAAAACCTACAACCTTGGTGTGGTGGTGTCTGGAGCAAGGTGAAAACTACCCTGAGTTGCAACATTTACCTTTAAAGCAGAGTATAAACAAATAGAATAACAACAACGGTTAAGGCACCACAACCAGCTCTTATTGCCTCCAAGTGGCCTGTCATAGAATCATAGAATACCAAGTACAATTCAAAATGCTGGCTTTACCCTATAAAGCCCTAAATGGTTCCGGCCCAGTTTACCTGTCTGAACGCATCTCCCCGTATGACTCACCTCGGGATTAAGATCATCGGTATAAAACTTTTGCATTTCTATTTCTTTGTTTTGATTTTGCTTTTCTCAATAAACTACAAAAACCTACAGCCTTGGTGTGGTGGTGTCTGGAGCAAGGTGAAAACTACCCTGAGTTGCAACAGGTGTGCAAAAGTGATAAAACCATGAATGCAAGATTGCACGGTGTGTCAAGAGAATGAAGCCTTGCATGCAGGATTGCACTGACAGAGCATTACCTGGGTGCCGGCCAGGATGGCGACAGTGAGGACAAAGGGGACTGAATGGTGTGTAACAGTGAGAAAACCATGCACGAAGGATTGCATGGTGTGTAAAGGTGATGAAATCATGATTGCATCATGGGTAAAAGTGATGAAACCATGAATGCAAGACTGCGTGGTGTACAAAGGTGATAAAGCCATGAATGCAGGATTACATGGTGTATAAATATGATGAAACCATGCATGCAGGATTCTATGGTGTGTGAAGGGGATGAAGCCATGCATGCAGGACTGCACTGATAGAGCTTTACCTGGGCGACGGCCAGGATGGCAACGGTGAGGACGAAGGGGATGGACCAGGTGATCAGGTGGAAGTAGGAGGTCTTGCCCAGCAGCGGTTGGTAGGTGGTGCCCAGCGCCTTGAAGGAGGTGTGCCACGCATAGGTCAGCATCACAAACCAGATGACGCCCGACATCAAGGAGTAGTAGACGATGACGAAGATGATGACGCAGGAGAGCGTCTCGTTGGAGCTACAGGGAAGAAGGGAAGGATTGGTCAAGATGTTAGGATGAGCATATGTTAGGAGGGCTTAGAGCAGTGGTTCTCAACCTTCCTAATGCCGCGACCCCTTAGTACAGGCCCTCATGTTGTGGTGACCCCCAACCATAATGTTATTTTCGTTGCTACTTCACAACTGTAATTTTGCTACTGTTATGATTCGTAATCTAAATATCTTATATGCAAGATGTATTTTCAGTCACTGGAACAAATTTGGCACAAATACTCAATATGCCCAAATTTGAATACTGGTGAGGTTGGGGGTGATTAATTTTGTCATTTGGTAATGCTGGAGTTGCTGGGATTTATAGTTTACCTAAAATCAAAGAGCCTTCTGAACTCCACCAATGATGGAATTGAATCAAACTTGACACACAGAATTCCCATGACCAAGAGAAAATACTGGGAAGGTCTGGTGGACATTGACCTTGAGTTTTTTGGAGTTGTAGTTCACCTACTTCCAGAGAACACTGTGGACTCAAGCAATGATGAATCTGGATCTAACTTGGCACAGATACTCAATATGCCCAAATGTGAACACTGGTAGAGTTTGGAGAAAATAGACCTTGCCATTTGGGAGTTGTAATTGTTGGGATTTATAGTTCACCCACAATGAAATCGCATTCTGAACCCCACCGATAGAATTGGATCAAACTTTCCACACAGAACCCCCATGATCAACAGAAAATGTTTTCTGATGGTCTTTGGCGACCCCTCTAACACCCCCCTCGCGACCCCCACAGGGGTCCTGACCCCCAGGTTGAGAAACAGTGGCTTAGAGTGTGCCTTCCTGCCTGGCAGAACAGGGGTTCTGCCAGAACATGAGGAAGAACTTCCTGACTGTGAGAGCCGTTCAGCAGTGGAACTCTCTGCCCCGGAGTGTGGTGGAGGCTCCTTCTTTGGAAGCTTTTAAACAGAGGCTGGATGGCCATCTGTCAGGAGTGATTTGAATGCAATATTCCTGCTTCTTCGCAGAATTGGGGTGGACTGGATGGTCCATGAGGTCTCTTCCAACTCTTTGATTCTATGATTCTATGGTTGGACTAGATGGCCTCTGGGGGCCCCTTCTGGCTTGTATGGTTTTATGGCAAGGAGGGACGTACGTGGGCTCTCCGAGGCGCATGGTCCCATCGGCGCGGCACACGATCTCCATCCGGGCGCCGTCCATGAACTGGGCCAGCCATCCAATGCTCCCCATAAAGAAGCAGGCGTTGACGTAGAAGAGGATGACCGCTGGGTAGCGGTTCGAGTTCTTCCAGTCGGCAACAAAGGTGGC